AAGACAGAATCGCAGTCTGTCTTGACCTTCTCGCAGAGAGCTCGGCATGGCTTCAGCCGGCTGTCATCCTCTGCAGTGCATTCAGGCACAACAACACGACACATAAGTGTAGCAATGTTTGGCGAACAAGCAGTCTCCACCATCTGACCAATTTGCTGCAGGTTGTAGCCTATAACTCCACTTGGATGGAGGGTCGTGGTGTATCCCAAACCTTGACAAAAGCTGGCCGTTATTGGCTTGCAATTTGCTGTCTCATCTCTCCTGCTATGTGCCTGCTGAAAAGACAGCAGCAAACCCAAAACCACCAAGACCAAATGCTTCATTACTCTCAGTAATCTCACAAACTGCTGTTTAACAGCAGCTTAGCTTTTGGGGGTTTGAGACCAGTGTGTTTCTGCTGCTTTGCTGAGGAGGCGGAGTAGGAGTCCACGAATGGAGTTTCTACAAAACTGGCACTGATTTAGGACCACTGGTAAGGTCACATATCAATAGGATGCTCAACACAAAATGAGAGCCTAACTGGTCCCAGAGCAGCAGCACTATTCTGAGAAATTCAATCCAAGGGCTCAAGACCTTTGTAATAAACACAACATCTGGTTATGATTGTGTGCATTCTGTGTAACCTGGGGGCTTGTTGCATAAAAGCTGGCACAATAAACCCGTCTTCTGGATGGAAACTATTTCAACATTAGGATCGAGAGAATAAAGTATTGTGACTGTTCTGGCTTGTTGTCTGTAAATAAAGACTGGAGTTCCAGAAACACACACCCACCATGTGGCATGATGCTGTTTTACCGTAACGAGGAATTAGTGGATTCTCTGACGTAAAAAGACAGCAGTGCATGAGAAGGTGGCTGACTTCCTTGTTTAAAGATACCAGATTTTTGTACTGGAGTACTGTAGAAACATGGCAGTTCAACATGGTGGTCTTTGTGGAAGAGGATCAACTCCCTCTGTAGATAAAAACGGCCATTGCATCCATTGCTGCACATATATCCTCCTAAATGTTACACACTGGACCTTTCAATGGCAGTTTGTTCATTGGGGGGAAAAAAAGTGTATAAAGTTTATAAAATGTTCTTTACATTATTTATTTTTTTACATTTTTATGGCCTTTTCCCCTTTATTAGAAAGGACAGCTGAAGATAAAGAAAACAGAGATAGAGAGAGGGGAGATGACAAGCAGCAAAGAGCCACAGGTCAGATTCAAACCCGTGGCCACTGCAGCAAGGACTCAGCCTTTGTACGTGGGGCACCAAAACCATCTGTACGTATGTCAGATTGTAGGTGATGTCTGTTGATCTCCCCTGAGCTGATGCAGACAGATAGGCCTCCTGTCTGAACACATGTCACATTCTTATCTGTGTGAAAGAAATGCATGTTAGATATGTAACAAAACTCCGGATTGTCCACACATTTTGACAAAGCATTTTCCTGGGTAAACCAAAGGTTAACTTGGGTTGTGACTTTTTTTTTTTTTTTTTTTTACAAAAATGAAGCACACACAAGGATTTTGTATGTCTTTACATTTACATTACATTTTTATACTAGTTTTTTTTCATCATCATATAAATAAACATATAAAACTGCTAAATATGCAGATGCCGAAGCAAAGACCGCATGATATGGTAAATTACCTCCTGAGAAAAACAACAGCATCGGTTGTTTCAGCAAATCCTCCAAGACTATGTATATTGTAAAAAAAAAGAACTTTACTGTAATAAATACAGTAGAAAGAATATTAGTACTGTTGATTTTAAGGTTAAGGTTGGAGTTTTATTCAATATTTATACCGTATAATACAAGTTTTCACCATTAAAAAAAACAGTTTTGCCATATGAAATACTATTGGAGTGCTACAGATACAATATCTGCCTTCATCATCTTATCTCTAATCATCTCCCTGGCACCTCAGAGTGAGACAGGGTGCTTTTGTTCATCTCTCTGTGCCATCGGAGGTGACAGACCGACATTTTGTCAGAATTACATGGTTCTACATGCGAAAAGCACAAAGGGAGTTTCTTCCAGGCTTCTCAAAACCAAGATGAGGGATTATCCAGGGTTTGAAACCAGGATATGAGAAAACCGAAATATCCCAAAAACCTTATCTTATCCAGGATACATTGTTTAATTTGGAGGACATATCGGTCTCTTCTGTATCAATTTATATTGTTCTTCTTTTAATCTGCTTCGTGTGAGTTTCCCTAATATATGGATGTGCAATATTCAGAGTACCATTTTAAGGCAAATAAAAGTGAAGGAAGTTAAAGCAGAAACCAGGAATTTTATGTTGATTCTGGCAGCCCTTGTTGTCAAAAGCGATGTGTGTTTCCGCCTCATTTCATTGGTCACAAGGGGAAATCAGACTGAATCCGACCCGGTGGCAGAAAGGTTATGAGTGATAGAAAACAGATTATTGTCAACATTTTGTATTAGACAGATTAAGACGCTATCTTGTCTTCACCATCTCACACCATGTCTCCCTGTCTGTGAACCGTCT